CCCTTTGGGGGGTCGGGGCTGGCGGGGCAGGCTTCTTCCCCTGCGCTCTGTCGAGTCGTCTTGGAGTGGGTACGCTTGGGCGTCGTCGAAACGACGTCGTCCCTCAGATGGGTTTCCCGTCTGTTTCCGGTTCCGAAACGGGACTGCGCGGACCTGCGGTTCATTCTGGACTTGTCCCGTCTGAACCCCTGGGTTCATTGCCCCTCCTTTCGGATGACTACGCTGTCTCAGGTTCGGCTCCTCTTGGAGCCGGGTGCTTGGATGGTGTCCCTGGACCTCCGGGACGCTTATTGGCATGTCCCGATTCATCCGCGGTTCAGGGACTGGCTCGGTTTTGTAGTGGGGCGTCTGAGTTACCGCTTTCGTTGTCTCCCGTTCGGTTTGAACCTGGCACCTCGCGTGTTCACACGCCTTACACGGGTTGTGGTGGCTCGTTTGCGTCTCCTAGGTGTTCGGGTGTTGGCCTACCTCAACGACTGGCTGGTTTGGGCTCCCAGCCAGTCAGCTTGCTTGCTAGCCAGGGATTTGGTTCTTTCCCAGCTCGCCGGGTTCGGGTTCTTGGTGAACTGGAGGAAGTCCCATCTGGTTCCCTCTCAGGTTCGGACTTGGCTGGGTCTCGTGTGGGACTCTCGGACCGCCTCCTTGTCTCTCCCTCCGGAGTCTCTCCTGCGGCTGCGGTCCCGCCTTCGTCTGTTTCTGGAGGGCCCTCGGGTCACCCGGCGGTTGCTCGAGGGGCTGTGCGGGAGCCTGAACTTCGCGATGGTGGTCTACCCGCCGGGTCGGGTTTGGCTTCGACGGCTGTTCTGGTTCCTTCGGGGTTCCCCCTTCCGCCTCTCTCGCGATCGCAGAGTTCGACCCCCGGGGGACTTGCGTCGGTTGCTGCGTCACCGGCTTCCTCTTCGGGTTTTTCGGGGTTCAGTGCCTTGGCGCCTACCCGAGCCCTCGCTCGATGTGTACACGGATGCGTCGTCTCTCGGCTGGGGTTTTGTGACCAGTGCTCACCAGGCCGGCCAGGGGCGTTGGGATCCGTCCTTCCGTCGAGCTCACAGTACGGTGCGGGAGTTCGCGGCAGTGTGGTTTGCTCTGGGGAGGATTCGGGTGGCCCGCGGATCGACGATTCGGCTCCATTCGGACTGCTCTCCGGTGGTTCATTGCCTGAACCGCGGGGGTTCGATGCGGTCCTTGTCTCTTTGGGGTTGGTCGCTTCGGGTGACTCGTCTGCTGAGTTCTCGGGGTTTGGCTCTCCTGGCGGTTCACGTACGGGGCGTGTCCAACGTCTTGGCCGACGCCCTGTCTCGCTTCGTTCCCCTCTCCACGGAGTGGACGGTCGACGACGAGTCCTTCCGTTGGCTTTGCCAGACGTTCGGGCGCCCCGAGGTGGACCTCTTCGCGTCGGCGTGGTCGCGGCGTCTTCCCGTTTATGCGGCGCCCTTCCCCGATTGCGAGGCCGTCGGGGTCGATGCCTTTCGGCTCGACTGGTCGAGGTGGGGGTTCCTGTACCTCTTTCCCCCGGTTCGGCTGTTGCTCCAGGTCCTGACTCGCTTAGAGACTTACCAGGGGAGAGTTGTCCTTCTGGTCCCTTGGTGGCCGGCCCAGCCTTGATTTCAGGCGCTGGTTGCTCAGTGTCCGAACCCGAGGGTTTTCCCGTGGCTCCGCCTCTTTTAGCAGATCGGGCCGGTACATCACGTGGCTGGTTCGATCTTCTCCTCGAGTCTTCGCATATGTTTTTTTTGACTCGAGTCTATCATCTCTACGGTGATCAGGTGGCCTCCTTGTTGGTGTCCCACCTGAGGGCTTCTTCTCGGCAGCAGTGTGAAGTTTCCTGGCGGTCCTTCCGTTTCTTTTTGCGTCTTCGTCGTGTTAGTTCCTTGTCAGTTCAGGTGGCCTTGTCCTTCCTCTCGTGGTAGTTTCAGGACCGTCATCTTATGCCTAACACTGTCGCTTCGTATCGTGCGGCGCTGGCGGAGCCGCTTCAGCTTGCTCTCGGTATCGATGTTACGTCTGCGCTGTTTCGCAAGCTGTCTCGTGCATTGTTTCACCTCCGGCCTGCTCATGCATCGCCTGAGCCGTCCTGGTCTTTGGACAGAGTGCTCGCTTTCCTTTCATCTCCTCGTTTCGTTGTGGCCCCTTCGGTCCAGGATTGTTTTTCCAAGGCACTTTTCTTGTTGGCTTTGGCCTCTGGGGGTCGGGTAGGGGAGCTTCATGCTCTCCTCCGGCGCAGGGGTTTCTGCTCTTTTGGTCGTGGTGATAGTTTTGTTCGTTTGCAGCCGTCTCCTTCTTTTCTGGCGAAGAATGAGACTGCTGCGTTCCGGAGGGGTCCATGGGTGGTTGATGCTTGGTTGGTCAGGCCGGGGGTGCATCATGTTTTGTGTCCGGTTGCGGCGCTTCGCCGTTATTTGCGCGCCACGGCTTCTGTGTCCGGGGACGCGCTGTGGGTTGATCCGGTTTCCCTTCTTCCCTGTTCGCGGGTTCGGGTCTCTCAGGTCGTCCGCAGGGTTATTAGGTCTAGCCAGCCTGCGGTCTATCCCCGTGCCCATGACGTTCGTAAGTTCGCGGCTCTTGCTGCCGTCTTTGGGAATATGTCTTGGTCTGATATTCGGGCGCGGGGATTTTGGCGGTCGAACAGGGTCCTGGCTGCTCGCTACCTTGTGAATGTCCCTGGCCCTCGTCGGGCCTGTGTTGCTTTGGGTCGGCGGTTGCAGCCAGTTGTCTCGGCTTCGAGTTGAGGGGTGAGCGACGACCGCCTCCCGGGTAAGTCCCTCTTTTTCTGTCTGTGGGTAGTTAGCTCCGGGGAGCCGACGGGGCTCCCCCCAGAAAACCAGCGTTGAATGTAATGAAACGCCATTTTCTGGGTGAGTCCCGGAGGCTCCCCGGCATCCCTCCCTCCCTCCGGTCGGCGGTTTTTCGCGTTTTTGACATCCAGCCTCAAGAACTGAGGTGTGGGTAGCCGGCGCGGGGGGTCTGGGGCTCCCCCTTCCCCCTCCCGGGGAGGGGGGAGCTGCGCAGACAGCGGCGCGGCAGTGTGTGACGTCACACTAATTTGCTTGTTTTCGGTTGGGGAGTTCTATCCACTAGTTCGGTATTAGGTAGCAATTTTAACCAGAATAGGGGTTTGTTTTGGGGCGCTTACCTTTCTGGGTGCCTGTTCCGGTCGATGGCAGACATAGAATGCTTCCAACTACACGGGGGCTTCTATAGGCCATTGCTCCCCTTGCCTCTCTGAGGGGGCCCGGTTCTGGCCGTGGTCCCCGGTAGGCCTAAGAACTCCATACACATGACTGATGCCAAAGTCTGACATTAGCATATCAGCCTGGGATAGCTCCGGGGAGCCTCCGGGACTCACCCAGAAAATGGCGTTTCATTACATTCAACGCTGGTTTTTTGGCACCTTTGTTTCCTGAGCTTGAATTCTTGTTCTCTTGTTCTTGAAGTTGCAGGTTTCAGGAATTCCTCTTTGTCAATTTGGTCAATTCCTGTTATTATTTTGTAAGTGGTGATCATATCATCTCTTCGATCTTAGAGCTCTGGTATACTGTATTTAACAACTTAGCCTCTCATGATAGGTCTTGTTTTTCAGTTCTGGAAGCCATTTAGTTGTATGTCTTTGCACCTTTTCCAGTTTACTGATGTTGTTCTTAAGATATAGGCACCATATAACCACTGTTTATTCCAATTTTGGTCTTGTGAAAGGTGTGAAAAATTTCTTAAATATTTTTCCGTTTATGTATTTAAAAGAAATTCTGAAGTTGGCAGGTTTAGCATAGGCCCCTTGCACAGTGTTCTTTATATGGTTCTCGGGTGGCAGTTTTCTATCCAGGACCACCCCTTTTCTTTATCCGAGTTTTTTTTTAAAGCCTTTGCACATAAATTGTATGTTGTGTGTGGCCTACGTTCTCCTATTCAATATTCCATAAAGGGACATTTATTCACATTAAATTCCATCAGTTGCTCCATAGAACTCATTTTGATTACTCATTTTGTCAGTCATTTTGAAGGTCATGACATTCGTCAAAGTTTCTTATCTTCGCTAGTAACTTAGCATGATCAGCCAACGTGTTAACTTAGCATCATCAAGCAGGTATCAACATGTTCATATAATTCCATATTCCTTCTGGTAGATTATTCATATAGATAATGAACATTACTGTTGCTAGAACTGAACTCTGTGATACACCACTTGTAACATTTCTCCAGTCTGACACATTCTCTGATTACTGCCCTCATTTTTCCCTCAAAATTTTTCATCCATGTTGGAAGTCTCCCTATCACCCCTCCAGTATATTCCCGTTTCCAGAACCTTTTATGTGGAGCTCTGTCAAAAGCCTGTTTTTGAGTCCAGATAAATGCTGTCAACCCAACCATCTCTTTTATGGAAAATCTCTGACTAGATATGTGGAGGGGTGGAGTTACTCCCAATGAGATGGCCCAACCACTTGGGCTGGACGGTAGAGCGACAGTCTTACTTCATTCAGGTCGGCATGCAATCCTGACTGCCCATGTGGTTGGACACCATTCCTTTTCCCCGTCCCATCCCAAATCCTTATCCTGATTCTTTCCAAGTACTATATAGTCATAGTGACTTTCCCCTGATAATTCACTCCCCTTCCATCGAAATGGGTGGAGTGTGTCTCAGTGAAATGGAATCTATGACAGGTAGTCAACAGGTAGACAGATAAGGTGATGCGTGAAGACTGGCCCTAGAGACAGAATGGGATTGAGATTTGCATAGTTTGAGATGAGGGAGGAAATTTGAAAGTGGCTCAGCTGCCACTCTTTGTTCTGCCTCTGCCACTGTGTGCCTGTGAGCACTGAGAGATCCAGGACTACTACTGGTAGTAACCCTGACATACTTGAAAAGCACACCATGTTTGCTTCTACTTTAATGAAGCTTTTTAGGAAACACTAGCAAACATTCCTCCTCACCACACACACATATATTATAAATTAATGTACTGTACAATTATTCTTTTAAAATGATGACTCCAGTTATATTTTTTCAGATTTGCCACAGGATGTGAAGAACTTCACGTGTATTTCCAAAAATTGGAATAAATTAAATTGTTCATGGACTGCTCCAGAGAATCCCGTCACAGTTCGTTACCAACTCACGTATGTTGTGCAGGGCTTCTTAGACTCCAGGTATGCTTTATTGCGCTATTGCCAGCCTTGGGGGGAGAGTTGCCTAGAATGTTTTGTGTGGGTTGTGAAGTGTTTCTGTATGGTTCAAATCTATCCTATCGAGGCATGAGCATTCTGTTCTGCTTACTTATTTGCTCACCGACTTTATCCTAAATTTGTGTTTGTGTGGTGTGTGATTGTTTTGTTAATAAACTTACACACTAACTCATAGATCTTGCCTCTAGAAAATAGTCATACTAGGTAATCTAGTGCAGTTCTTCAATAGTGATGTGAATATCTGCATTTCAGTCGACTTCTTGCCTGAGTTTAACAAGGAAAAAGTATATTAAGTTGTAAATATCTACAATATTATGCTAAATTATAGAAAACTATCAATTCAAGTGGACTAAAATATATAATAAAAAAATTCATTAATAAGCTAAATTATTAATGGAATGATTTAAGAAATTACAGTACATTATAGGTAATGTTGCAAGGATGCTCTATATTTGTTAATCAAACATAGAGCATATATACAAAATGTCGGAGCCATCATTGAAGTTCTGCATCATTTTCAGAGTAATGCCAACTCCAAGTTCTGTTTTAACAGCTGGTGTGGTCATATTCTGACATGTTAACAATCAAATTGCTAAGAGGGAACCTTGTTTTATTTCTGTAAATAATGTAACAGGAATGTTTTTTCTGATACTTTTGGATAGCATCAGTGGCTCCCTGGTGGTACCACAGATATCCACAAAACTGCCAGGTCACTAGTCTTACACAGGTCCACCAAACACCAGGACTGAAGTATGGTATGCCGAGAGGTCAGGGCAGCATGGGGATTAAAGATCTGTCTGAAACTGAATAAAACTGATCAGAAAGCACAGATGAAGCAAAGCAACCAATGTACCTTGATTAAAAAGCGAAAAGGTAGAATCTAAGGAAGTGGTGCTGTTGTCCTTTGCCTTGTATCATTAAACCATGTGCTAGCACCAGGCCTGTCACCAGGTGGCAACTCGGGTCATTGAGTGGTCCAGCCTGCCTTCTGCCTCACTCGAAATGGGTTGGAATAGAAGAGCACTATTCCCCAAATTTACCTCTGGTTTAGTGTGGATTTTGGCTTGGTCTCTAGCCTCTCTTGGGGCAAGAGATCCCAGTTGGGTTGTAGAAAGATGGGCATTGAGGGGCCTATTTGACCCAGGATGGATATGGGTGTTAAAACCCGAGAGGTTGCAGTAGTTAACTGGTTTGCAAACAAGCAGTTAACTAGTTTGACCTAACACCAAACACACAAACAAAACCTAGAAATATTATATAGCCTGACTTTCATACGGACATGTATTATATACATTGATACCATAGTGATGTAAAAATATACTTTCACTTATTATGAGAATACATGTTTAAACTTAAACAGTAATGACATTACGTTTATTAGTGGCAATAATTATAGTATTTATTTGCAGTATAAAGTTAGGACACAGTGTATGTTACAGTATTAATATGGTGTATACACTGGGTCATAACAGCTTCAGTGCTGTCTTTGCTGTTAGATTCCCTGTTTCCCATGCTACCGTTTTCCTCAAACACTGTTGCTACAGGAAAGTCCATCTAGTCATTTTCCCAAGTAATTTGGCTGTGGTCTGCCTCTCTGGTCCCTATTGTGGCCCTCTCTAAATAGCATTTTTCTTAGACTTCTGGCTAAAGAAAGGGCTCTAATGCACCTTTGGCACTGGTACAGGCTTAGCTGTTGGTTCACTTCCTCCTCAAAATCAGTGTCTTTCTGGCATTTTCCTGATTTGGTGGCTGGTAGACTTTCTCTCATCAGCCATTTCTTGGTAAGTTCCAGTGATGGTGTGATGGGGGACATCTGGCCATTTTACTAGGCTTGGAACTGGGACAGTTTAAAGTTTCATTTTGTTATTCGGGACCTTCAATTGGGCTTGGCCTTCTCTTCCTCACCAGGGGGCCCTGTGTTCCTTCTAAATTGTGTACACCTCTCCTGCAGATGTTTTCATGATTTGTTGGACAAGATTTATTACCATTAGTCCATTCCTCTGGGTGGTGTCCCTGTGTTACTGTTTCTGAAGGGCCTGTCAGTTCTTTGGTCTATTTTCGATTTTACCTTTCGTAATACAATACTCTCATTCCTTGTCCTACTTTTGCAGATAACCACTGTTTCTGAGGTTCTCCAAGTGGTTTTGAGCCATGGATCAGTTCTCTGGATCAGTGGGATGTTTACTGGCATGTTCCAAGATGCCCACAGTTCAGGAATTAGCTAGGATTTAAAGTGTGCAACATCTGCTATCACATTTTAAGCTCCTTAATTTGGGATAAACTTGGCATCCAGAATCTTCACCCAACCTATTTGGGTGCTTTGCCACCCCCTTGGGTTGTGTGTCCAGAACCTGACAACGGGTTGGTTTGGGCATCCAGCTGTCAGAATTATCTGCTATCTAGATATTTTATGCTTTCCTGGTGTGAAAAGTCACATGTCATCCCTGTATAATTGAGAGAAAATAAGCTGCATTTACACAATTTACTATAAATGAGCCCAGTAGAATGCAGTTAAGAGTTAGAAATAGTTACGATTCTGGCATATATTATAGGTTATCAGAAATTAGTAGCATTTTGCTTTGGAAATTAATTATTTACTAAATTTTTTAGCTCAGTTTCTATGGAAATAGTTGCAACTGCTTTGGTGAGAACATTCACACTCTTAAAGCAGTGGCAGAGAAGTATTGGAAAATTAGGGAATATAAGTAACAGTGGTAGGAATGCACTACAGCATGTGAATACTTGAATTTTTAAAATTTGTAATGGTTAATGAAGGTCCACGTGTGTGTTTTTATTAGAAAAATTATTCGATGAGAAAAAGTTGGCAGCTGTGTCTCGGCTGATATGAGAAACATTACCAAAAATTCAAACACAAAAACTGGTAGTGTAACTTAGTCCATGCAAAAGGATTAACTTCATAAGGTGATTAATGCAAAATTACATTTTTGTTACTTTCTATTAAAATCTTAATTATCAGATTATTTTTTTCCATATGACATAGCAAGTTATTTATAAATAAAGTATTTCAGCATTTTGATTCTGATAAAAGGTCCAAATGTTTAATATGAAGTTTGTTGTCATTAGAAAGCAGAGGCATTATTTGTCGTGTGTAAAATAACTGTGTAGCTGTTGTAAAAAACTTCCTTGTTTGTTTTCCAGCATGTTATAATAGTGATTTGTGCAAAATTCTTAATGTAATGTTTGATTTTCATTTATTGAATTTTTTTTTTTTTAATTCTACAGATTTTTGTTTATTAATTTCTATTGTATAGACAAGTTATAGGTGTGTACTAATTTTATGTGCATGTTTTTCAGTGAATTTTTGAATAGTATAATATTGTGAGTTGGATTGATGAATGTTATTTTATAAAAGTACAGAATATACAAAAATTTTTGCTCGGCCAAAATCTTACTTAATAATAAATAACATGGGCAAATTAAAATGTTTAGGCCTACAGTACATCTTTTATGTTCATTCACAAAATGATTGTTTCCTGACCTTAAAAATGTTGAAAAAATGATGACAGGTTTCTAGTATAAAGAAAATGGGTAAATTACCTTATCAATGGGTAAAATTATTTCAGTGTGTAATTCCCTTAATGAATGTTATTTTATTTTATTTAAATGAGTTATTTTATAGTGTGTGTGTATGGGGCAAATTCAGACAATAAATAATTATTTTACTTTTAATTTTTGATGTTGCAGTTCAAAAGAAACATACTTTACGATTTATTAATGTCATTATATATACAATATAACTGAAACAAGGCTTTGAGATCGTGTTACAGCCCGTCCTCATAAACAAAAGCCAGAGTCCATTCCATTCACCCGCCAAACCCCCAGTTCATGAATGAAAACGGTTTTCATACGACACAACTGAAGAAGTCCAAACACTTCCAGAACAAGTGCTTTGCTGACGACTTTTATTCGAACTACAACGCTGTAAATGCTTCACCCACGTACTACAAATACAAATAATTGCCAACAGAACCTAAACACCCTAACCTAATCTAACCAGTGCCTAAATATGCAGTGTGCTAGTATATGATATTAATTTACATTTGAGAAAATTCTTATTTTGAATGAACAGCATGTTAAAATTGATGAATGTGTTTTTGGGATTGACGGCTAGATGGAATGGACTTGGGCTGAGGACGGGTTGCTTGTTAAAACTTCTTTATGAACTATGCCATTGCGTTCCCTCGTGTAAGATACTACAGTACTCTGTTCTTGTACATGGATCACACTGTCAGGCAGGTTGATGTACAGCACAGCATCTTTGCAGTCATAATGTGCTGAGGGAGTCACTGGAGAATACTCTTATAGCCTTAATGCCAATTTTTCCTGGGAGCTTCCATTTAATGGGTGGCTACAGCAGAAGTTTCTCAGAGAGGCTCTTATTGGCATACACACCTTTCATTCTTTGAAGTGTTTTCCCTTCCACCCACCCTTTCATAAAATGTTTTTATAAATATTAAAAGCCTTCCACTTGTGATGTCGGGTGATCATGAAACAAGTTGTCTTGCCGGCTACCTGCTGTGCGTTACCTGGTTTAACCTATCGCTTGCCAGCAGGTGGCAACACCTCACTTACATGAGCCAGCTCATTCACAACTATAATAACAATGAAATCTGTACATACAAAAAGGGAAAAGAAAGAGAATTAGGGTGCAGCTGATTGATACAGCTGGACTAGTGTCAAGCAAATGAAGGATCAGCAGATTCAGCACTCATACTGGTTCCTAGTGTAGTGGTTACACACCAGTTACGAATACAGTGTCTATTATTTTTACTTATTCTGGAGGTCATTTGCTTTGCTTCTGATTCCCTTTGTTGTGTTCTCTAATAGGTGGGAACATATTAACAGGAAGAGCTTGACTTTTTTGTTTATTTTCTTCATCTACTGAAAGTTATGTTATGGGTGAATAGACCCTCTTGAAACTTGAGGAAGATCAGATCCTCTAA